ATCTATCTATCTATCTATCTATCTATCTATCTATCTATCTATCTATCCATCCTACTGAAATTGGTTTTATAATTTGACTGAATTATATATTATATGCCTTTTTTGTAATCCTTTGTATTACTATTTGAGTAAAACTGAGTTGAATTAAGTATCCTAGGAGTCCTGCACTCGTGATACGTTTCCGATTTAGTATGTACAAATGGATATGAAGTATCTTAGAATTTTAAACAATTATAAGATGAGATTTCAAATTTTATATACAGGCAGAAAATTTAAAAGAACCAATTATAACTTGGCCTGTGTGTATATCCTTTGTGTTTTGATATATTTTGAAGTTGAGCCTCTAGATATCAAAGAGACCTCTAAAAGGAAATCTGAGGTTCTTTCTCTAAAAGTATTCCAACAATTTCTGATTAAGGAGAGACATTTCCTTTCCTTAAACGTATTAAAGAAATATTTTTTTCTGAATTTTGCCTTACCGTAATAAGAAAGTATGGTCGCCTCAGGAAATTTTTTATGCGTAAACTTGAATTTACGGTAACCAAGAAGGACATCCCAGCACGTGATTGGATGAGCTGTCAACGTCTTGTACGCTGATGCTCCCCCCAACCACTGTCACTCCGCCAGAGGAAGCACGAAAGCGTTAGAGCTTAACGGTTAAATAGTAGACATTTGAAATAATATGCTGGATAATCATTAATCTTTCCAACGGAAGGAGCATCAGTATTAAGGAAACGCAGGTAATCCAACTATCTTTTTTTTGTAGATATTAGAAAGTCTTTACAATATGAGAACTTCCTATTTGAAAGCCTAAAATATCTAGCAGTGAGTCTGAATGAATGATGGCCCAGAAGAAGCTAAGCGATAAAAAAAAGTTTGTCGGTCTAAAAGTGTCCGGGTGTTATGTCATTTTACAAACGTTGAGCGTTTTCTAGGGTGACATGTAAGCTAAGACCGGTGCTCTTACAGAAACGACACCGCGAGGCTAGCCAGTTGTTAGCTCGTACTACTTGTTAGCTGATGTTGTTTTGTGGGAGACTGTCATTTGAAGGGACCTGCTACCGTAGCGACTTTTACATGCTTTTTTACGTGTTTTATTTCCTTGGCTGCTGTGTCATTAATGTAAATAGTATTCCTGTGTATTTATTTACCAATTACATTATTTCCTTCCAAGTCATAATAATCATAAACGATTGTTGAAATGTTTGTCACGTCTAATTAGCAGCACATTCAAGCTCGTGGTACATATATATCGTGCCCCTATTTTTTATGTCGACATACATTTTTGCTATATTTCTAGTAACCTGGCTCCTATAAAATGAAGTTACATTAAATACACTACAGTAAGCAAACTAAGTACTGTTGTGTCAAATGGAAATAGAAAGACAAAGCCCTCTGACCTGGGCAGTAACACAGAGTACACGTGAAGGTGTGTATGTGGGTGTGACTCACTGCCTTTGTGTTGGTTAGTGAATACCAAGATCAAGCTTTATTACTGTATTTTTACAGTTTGTCAGTGCAGCTTTTGTTTGCATATTTTTTCCCTCCACACCTGAAAACGTGTATCATTTAATAGCCAGGAAAGTTTGATTATTTGTGCCTTTAAAAAGACCCTTCTAGAACTGAAAGTTGCCCTTTACATAAGTATAAGTGTTACCTGCATATTTATTTGCTTGGAGGGTTTTTAGACGAGTTTGAATTTATAAGTTGAAATACTTATTCGTCCAAACTCAGCCTCAACAGTAATTGGAAATGTAAATTAAGTAGGAAATATATCCAGGCAGGACCTGATGTTTCACACATTAATTGCCTAAAGGTTCAGTTGCACTTTAACTTGGTGTAGATTTAGAAAAAGATCATTAAGAATGGTATTTCTAGGTGTTTGGAGAAACGATTTAGAAAACTTTTTTAAAAATATATATCCTACTTTCAGTTTTGATTGTCTGCAACTAACAATGTCTATCAGTCACTGGAACTGACCTCTTTCTGCACACAACACAACATTGTGCAACCTAGCAGTGAATTACATTCACATGCCTGACATAACTGCCACAATGATGATTCTATTCTAGGCCACCAACATTGGCTGAATGTACCGTAGAGGATATGACATGCATTAATACTAGCTTATCGTATTATATTAGGAAACACTAGCATCAGGCCCTGTTCATTTTGCTGTATTTAATTTTTGTTTTTTGTTTACTCTCGAAATCAATTGCTTTCTAATATTGGTTTTTGAGGTGCCGCAGGAGGTCTCTTTTTGTTATTAGGTGAATACTTGTGTCCAGCATGTGCCCTATTATGTTCCACATCAATTCTGCGATGGCCAGGGCTGTGATTATCTTTTCTACTGTCTGGCTCAGTGAATTAAGGATTTTGAAAATCTTTCAAAGCTTTTACTCTCAGATCTCCCACTAAATTGCTTTTGAGCAGACGCAGATTAACAACACTGCTGTCAGCATTTGTAATCCTCCAGAGAAAAACTGTCAATGCACATGGCAGACACTTGTCCCTGTTCGTGTCACTAGAATGATGTTGTCATATATTCTCTTGTCTTAGTAGGGTCAGAAGCACTATCGGAAGCAAAACTAGTTTTACTTTTTTAACTGAAGCCCAAATAAAATCAAGTCTGTAATGCAGTTGATTATTTTGTTAACTCATCTTCTCTTTTACCATCCACCAGCCCTTCAGACAGGTGACAGTCTACCATGTTGTCCAGGCTGAAAACAACGTGGTCCCTGAGACCCTGTGTCTCTGTTTGCAGATGGGCGCACACCAAAGAAAAGGGCAAGCCCCTCATGCTCAACCCCCGCACCAACAAGGTGAGAAGGCCTCTGACTCTATCTTTAAATGTATTGGGATTAAAAAAACAACTGGCAAGATAACAGCCCTGTGAGCGTCCTGAAATATTTCAGCCTACATTCCTGCTGACTGTATCATTGAATTATGTTAAAAAATGGGAATGTTGAGCTATGGTTTTTGTTTTCCATGGGTTTCCGTCTACATGGAACTTTACACATAAGAACTATTTGCTGATTTTGATGCATGCTGTGTAATTCCCAAGTATCACATTGTCTGATGTGGGGTGTACCTTGAGGACCTCCCCCAACTTTAAGTAGGCTGACATTTGTAATGTGAAGCTAGCTGCTTTATGTGACATGATCTCACCGTGCGCAGGTCCTGAACGTGTTGCGTTGTATATATTTAGGCTTACTAACAAAACATGCAAACTGGTTGCGGGGCATCTGCCAACTGGTCTCAGAGGCGCAGAAGTCGTGCATTCTGCCATGCAAATGTGCTCCACGTATTCAAACCAGTTACCAAGATAGTTTCACTGCAAACCAAAAAAAGAATCTCAATGGGGTTTTAAAATCGGATCTGTAACCAAATCCATCTAAACACTTTGGAACCGTAGAGATGTTTGCCATTCTTCTAATGCTTTGCGCCTCCAATAATAAACAGTCACAATACCAGCAACCACACTGGGTCTTTATAAGCCAAAACTTTTCCCCTCTTTCTTTCTATTTTTTCAGATTTTTTCAGTGGTTTTATTTAGGGTTCAGTTAAATTGGCATAGAGAACGAGTAAGCGAAAGCCAACTTTAAAGTGATGGAGCAGAAGAGTCTATGTTAAAGGACCTCCCAAAGTTTGCCAGAATATGGGGCATTGAGTGTTGACTAAAACTAAGTAAAACTGAGCTTTTTACGTTCTAGTTTTGAAACCCTATATAAAATATGCAAAAAGCATCCCTTCAGTTTGTTTGAGAGGGAAAGAAAAAAAGGAAACCAAAATGTGCTTTTACATTCTGGTGAGAGGAACCGAGCGGGAATGCTGTGAAGAAGTGAAACGCTCTATCAGCATGACTCAGCATTTTTCTCAGAGGTGCCCCCGGCATTCATCACGCTCACAAAAATAATCAGCCTCATTCCCCAGCCCAGGAGGCATTTCACATGTTGGCACCCATATTTCATTCAGAAATGGCCAATAACTAAACACGTGCACACGTGCTCTGATGCCCAGCAGGAACATGCAAACCCCTCTCACCTCCCCCATTAAAGACAGGGAACTCTGTTTTATGGGGGTGTTCCTATCAGAGTGATTCTCATTGGCTCCTTTAGGCATACACCCTGTTTCTCACGCACATACATTCTGCGACCAAATTGCTTTCATCTGGTTTCCATCCTGTCACACAGCAGTCTGTTTCTGCTGTAAGGAGTCAACAGGTCAGCTTTATGGGTGATACAAGTGGAATAGTGTGCCCCCTAGTGGCAAATCCACATCACTGCACATACATCTGGCAGATTCAGTTTTTTTCTAAGGTTTTCTGGTATTTATTTTTACAATCCAGTCCAGCAATATGATGCATAAACATTTGAGACGCTGGGTGGCCCTGTTTTGATTGTAAAACAGAGATTTAGATCTGTGTTTCCTCAGCTGCAATACTTCCACTTGTTTCTCAGTATTGATAGCTTCTTTCCATAGAGTTGTCAATATTTTTATAGGTGTGCTGTTCAGTTCTATCTTTTAAATGTGTTTGTTTCTTCACAGGGCATGGCATTTACCCTGCAGGAGAGGCAGATTTTGGGGATACATGGTCTCTTGCCTCCCAAAGTGGAGACTCAGGATATTCAGGCAATGCGCTTTCAGAAAAATCTCAAGAAGATGACTGATCCCCTGGAGAAGTAAGAATATAGCTCCATAAGCAATTCGTCTCTGTATTTTTCTTCTTTCCTCCATAATTTTTTCCCCTCCTTTTCTAAATAGATACATTTACCTGATGGGCATCCAGGAGAGGAATGAAAGGCTTTTTTATCGAGTGTTGATGGAAGATATAGAGGAGCTGATGCCTATTGTGTATACCCCCACTGTTGGCCTGGCTTGCACACAGTATGGACATATATTTAGAAGACCAAAGTAAGCATTCCGTTTTGGCTGCGGGCATATCACTGAGGAGTTAATTTTCAAGACAAAATAAAAAAAACTTTATGCTGTGCATTAACATAGTTCATGCATTTCAAAGATAGTATAATTTTGAACAGTTTTTTCTGTCCTGCTGCTTACACTATGAATCATGGGTAAAATGTCAAAATTTTGGTCTTGCTTTCCCTCACTAGAGGCCTGTTCATCTCCATTCGGGACAGAGGACATGTCCGTTCCATCCTGGACAACTGGCCCGAGACTAACGTTGCAGTGAGTTCCTGACAGTGACTGACACTGTGGGATTTGTGTTTCTCACAGATGCATACTCATTAAATCTGAATGAACTCATGCTCTTCTTTATCACTTCTTCTATGTTTTTGTAGGCAGTTGTAGTCACTGATGGAGAGCGTATTCTAGGCTTAGGAGACCTGGGGGTGTATGGAATGGGCATACCTGTGGGAAAACTTTGCCTGTACACAGCCTGTGCTGGCATCAGACCTGAGAAGTGTCTTCCTGTGGTGATCGACGTCGGTACAGACAATGAGGTGAGCAGGCCGAAGACATATTAAACCCATTCAGATTTATGTTTGTGCATATATTTCTTTATATGTGTCCTCTTTCTGTAAGACTCTCCTTAAGGATCCGCTCTACATGGGCCTGTATCAAAAGAGGGACCGCTCCCAAGCCTATGACGATCTTATTGATGAGTTCATGGAAGCTGTGGTGGATAAATATGGGCAGGACACCCTGATCCAGTTTGAGGACTTTGGGAACCACAATGCATTCCGTTTGATCAGAAAGTACAGGGAGAAATACTGCACCTTCAACGATGACATCCAAGGTATTTTTTTCTTTGCTTGAAAAGAAAAGAGCAAAATGGTCAGGAACACTGTGTTTTTTAATCTGGCTTTCACTGTTTTGTTCCTCGCATGTTTCAGGCACTGCTTCTGTAGCCCTTGCTGGTCTGTTAGCAGCTCAGAGAGCCATTGGCAAACCCATCACTGAACACCGTGTGCTTTTCCTGGGAGCTGGAGAGGTCTGCACATGCATTTATTGAAAAGCTTTTCTATTTGCTCTTTTATCTCTTTAGTCTATTAGAACAGAAAATGTAAAAACCAGTAAGATAAAAGCTTGTTTGATATAAAGGGATTTGCCATATTAAAAAATAGTGGATATAAATATTTATTTTCTTCTCAATACTTTATTCAAAGGCTGCTCTTGGCATTGCAAATCTAATTGTAATGGCCATGATGGAGACGGGCTTGAGCCAAACTGAGGCCACAGAAAAAATCTGGATGTATGATGCCCATGGTTTACTTGTTAAGGTTAGTACATGTGACGCAGGATTACAGTGTGCACACAGCCTAACCTGTAAACGAGTTGTAATTGCATGTATTATGTGTTAACTTCAGGGTAGACCTCAGAAGACGGACAGCAATCAGGAGGCATTTGTTCATGACAGTCCAGGGGATGTACAGAGCTTCCTAGATGCTGTCAACACCATCCAACCCACAGCTATCATTGGTGGGGAGGATTTCTTCTATGTTTTTATGTTTCAGGTTTTACTGTACAGCCCTCAGAGAGAGGGCTCAAACTTTTTCAAGTATTTCATAATTTGTAATACTGTTTCTATTTTGTAACTCTACCTGCAATAAATCAGATTATCTGATTTTCCCACCAAAGCTCACAGTTGTTGAATTTTAGACTCTGACTAAGCCTTAACGATACACCTTTTCCTCCTTCTTCCAGGCGTGGCGGGAGCTGGACGTCTGTTTACCCATGATGTCATTAAGGCCATGGGAGCCCTAAATGAACGACCAATCATCTTTGCTCTGAGTAACCCAACCAACAAAGCAGAATGCACTGCCGAGGACGCGTACACACTAACTGACGTACTTTTGTCACTTCCATTTCCTCGTGTTTGTTTGCTAACTTTTAAAGCAGGACTGGCTGGAGATTAAATCGACTTTTTCTGTGTCTCACAGGGTAGATGCCTCTTTGCCAGTGGCAGTCCATTTGGTCCAGTTACTCTGAGCGATGGGCGGGTCTTTACACCGGGACAAGGCAACAACGCTTACATCTTTCCAGGTGACAAGAAAACAGAAAATCGATGGTTATAATTCACATTGATGAGCAAAATTGTATGAATTAAGTACACCTTTTCAACACTGTCGGATAATAACAGTCTTAGTTTCTGCTGTGTTTGCTCTGTAAAAATAAATCTATGAATAATGACTGACATGTAGTAACGGAATAAAACGAGTGGTTTTCTGTGTTCTAGGAGTGGCCCTGGCTGTGGTTCTGAGTGGAGTGAGACACATCAGTGACACTGTTTTCTTAGAGGCTGCCAAGGTCTGAAAGTCACATTATTTTTTCTCTTTTTAACTTGCCAAATTCCTCCTGAACCTCAATCTGTTCATCCTCTTCTTGCTTCCTCTGTCTTGTATGCATATGCTCACCTAAACTCTGTGATGTCTCCTCTCCCCTCTCTTTCTAGACTCTGCCATAACAGCTAACAGATGAAGATCTTTTAAAATGCCGCTCCATCTGTGCTCTTCCGTCTTTTGCTGGGCTGCATTTGGCTTCTTAAAACTAATACCAGTAATTAATGATCAGACAGTGCTTTCATGTTCGTTACTGAACGCTTATGTGCGTGTTGCTTCTTTAGAGTTGGTCGCAGTGGTTCGATCAGTTTTTTCTCTTTAGCACCTTTGTAAATATTTTCATTTTTTATGTTATTGTATGTTTTTTTTTCTCATTTAAAATCGCTGAAAATTTATGACGGCACACGAGGAAAGATGGCAAACCAAAGTGTTATTTGGCAGGAGTGCATAAATAAATCTTTAGTCTAAAAGTGTTCTTATACTTTTTCCAGACACTTGCTGAGCAGCTGACGGATAAAGAGCTTGAGGAGGGCAGACTCTACCCCCCTCTCTCCAACATCAGAGAGGTCTCTGTCCAGATGGCTATCAAGGTAAGTCTTGCCTAAATTTAGTTTAAATTTAGTTTATTTTCCTCTTATCTTTCCAGTCTCATAGTTTGACGCACAACCATTAACAACCTTTTTAACAAGTTCTCAGTGTGTGCCTTTAAAGGGTTCCACATTTACTTGTTTTTTAGGCTCATCTATATGTGGTTCCATTCATTTTATTGCCCGTCTTGATCCATGAGTAGAAACAAGATGCAACAGAGCACAAATGCCAATATCCTATCAAATGTGCCGATTGCTAAATTTAGAAAAAATTTAAAACACCTCAGAGATAAGTTTTTGTCCCATATAGTGTGACTGTCTGTAAACTGAGTAAACAAACTGAACACAGATGAAGATGAGTTGGTCTGTTTGCCGGTCCCTTTGGTCATAAACCCTCTTTATCACAGGTGATGGAGTATGTCTATGCTAAAGGCATGGCATTCCGCTACCCTGAGCCCATGGACAAGAATGGCTTTGTCCGTGCTACTGTGTGGAACACCAGCTACGACTCCTTCCTGCCAGACACCTACGACTGGCCCGGTGTCAGCTTCAGTCCCAAGAATAAGTAGAAATGGAGCAGACCCCAGCTGTGCCCAGTCTTAAAATGGTTCTCTTAGTTATTTCCACCTTAATTTAACATATGTGTTACCTTAGTGCAAATTGGCCTAGAAATCAGGTCAGCAGCGCCACATTTAGAATTCGGTGACACTGCATTTGCACTAAAGCACTCCAATTTAGATATGTGAAAATTACGGTGGGAAGCGCGGGAACCATTTGTGTGAGGATGCCCTCATCTGTCATGTCTATCCCCTACTTATAGTTTCTTTGACCTATATTATCGATGTAAACCTGGATGGAGGTGGAGGGCCACCTAGTGAGGGCAAAGGCAGTGTGAAAGTCTGGCTTCAGTAGTACAGCTACCTTTATGCTTTCAAAATAATGTGATATACAGCAAGAAAAAGGCCTCATAGTTGAGTTTTTTGCAACAGATTTCAGCACAAATACAAACAACAGTCCCACCACTTCAGGTTTGAAGACAGGCTTGTTAAAGGTTCTCATTGTTATCTTTTTACATTTTCAATAGCAAGTCCTCTGTTTTTCATATCTTCACCAGATCTTACTGACAGGATAACAACATGATGTCACTGTTGTGTATACTCCTGATACACAACTGCCTTTAGTTCGGCCCAATTTAACATTCATCTCATTCAAAGCTGTCTAACTGATGCTCATGCTCGTCTTTTCATGCGGTATATGGACATGTTCCACTGCCTTTATTCACATCGAGGTTGTCCTCTGGTGCCTTCACAGTTCTGACTAGTGTAGGACTTCTAGCTACGCAGAAACCAAAAGCAAACTAGAAGAGGGAGAGGGAGAGAACAATTTAACTTCAAGGACGGATTCAATTAAAATCTAAACACGGACCTCCAAGCTGAATTTGGTGAGATTTGATGAAGGGAAATTTATTTTAAATGTATTCTTCAAAATATTCAGTGTAATCTACAGTCAGATAACACTTGAATGTGCACTCCAGTGTTTTGTGTCTTGCTCATGTCACCTTGTATTTCTTTATTGTAATTTAACTGCCAGTTTGGAACAGCACTTCTTCATTCATTGTGAATGTGTCTTGAATTATGAATCCTTTTATTTAAATGTCTCATTATGAGAAACAAAAATAGGACTTTGATTTGGATATTTATGGAAATTGTGCCGTATTGGATAAATGTGATTTTCCAAACTGTTCAAGCACTTTTGGTAACAGACACTCCCCTGAAAATTATTTATTTTTTGTTGAACACATCTGGATGTTGTCTTGGTTGTGATTTGGTTTCAGAACAAAATGATAAACTAAGCTAAACTAAACTTTTTGGCACACTAAATAATAATTAAGTCAAGCAAAGAGATTTATAGAAATTGAAGCTGCGTTTAGCACAGTTAGAAAAGTTCAGAAACATCTTGAGATTAAAAATTGGACCTTTTGACTGTTTTCATCCTCGTCATCAACAGAGGACAAAAGGTTTTCTGCTCAGCTTTTTGCATTTCCATGCAAGAACTGAAATTGTCCAATTTTATGTATAAACAAACTCACACTCCTAAGGAAGGAACAACTGATGGCTTATTTATCCATTATATATTTTTTTAATCTCACGTTAAGTTCACTGGCTGCATTGTGCATTAGTCTTTGAAAATTGAACATAAACATGACCACAGTGTAAGGAGTAATCTTAAAACACTGAATCAGGACTCTCTGAACCCTCTTGTTGAAGTGCCTGAAAAAAAGTTCAGCGTTTATTATCACTCATGCTCCTCTGTGAACACCTCACAACATAAAGAGCTGAGATACACCTCAAAAGCTGTGTGATCTTTGTTTTTTTCTTTTGTCCAGAAGTCTATGTGTTGTCTTCACTATGCAGCTTCTATGTACTTACATGTTATACCATTTGATGTGTTGTTGAGGGCAAAGTTTCCCCTTAAAATGTTTTTTTTTAAAAGGTTAAAAGGAAATATTGCTCGGTAAATGCCATTAAAACATGTACTTGGTTCTCCACAGTGCGTTGACAGTAATTGTCCCAGTCTCTGTTATGTGTAGGTCCGGTAATTGTTGTTTTTTTTTTCTTTCGAATGAATTGTACATTAGTTGGTCATATAATGCTGTGCCCTTCCAGTGTAGCCCAGAACTTTTATTTTTGGTACACATTTGTATCCAGAGAACAGTATATTTGTGGTGCTTTAATATATGTGCTGCCGAATAAAAACTATTTTACATTGGCTTACTTGCCTGCTTGTTTCTTCTCTTGTAGTTTCATTAACTAGCCCTGGTAATTGAAAACAAACTGTAATTTTTCTGGATACTATGAATGAAACTTAACCAGTGTTGAATGGGACATTTCTTGAAGTTATCATAGTTATTGAAAATAAGAAAAGATTGTGGAGAATGGTCTATTTTTATGTCACTAAGATGTGCGTTTAATGTGTATATTTCAAAATGCAAGTTTCACTGTTTGACTAGAGTTGGATGTAAAATTCCTGTTTTACATAATTTTTGTTTAGTATGTATCCGAAAGGGGGGCCATTTCACAACTAACTATTATAATCAGGGGGACATTGTTTGAAGATAAAAATAAAAACAGGTTTCGCACTTTTTTTAACCCTCTGGTAGATCAGCCTCTACCCTGTCGCTTCTCTTACGTCATCAGAGTGAGACATGTTTACAGAAGGATGTCACGTTTTCTTCATTGTGAAAGTTACTTTTAGGCAGTTTCCCTGATACTCAAACAGGATGACTATGGACATAACTTTCCTGGGGACCGGGTCTGCGTACCCGTCTCCTCACCGCGGCGCGTCGGCTCTGGTGCTGCGGACGGACGGAGAATGTTGGCTGTTCGACTGCGGAGAGGGAACCCAGACCCAGCTAATGAGGAGCCAGCTCAGAGCCGGTGAGTCCCTTCAGGTCCTTCTGAGCTGGCTCTCCAAGTCCTTCCCTTAAATTTTTGATAATCGGTGTATTTCTGACCTAGTATTAAAAAAAAATCACTAGATCTTTTTAGATATTTCTAGAATGACACATATTTTGCTATCTTAAAAAAGTATAAAACATACTACTTTAAGGCATCATGGGCTTTATTTGAGTAGATGTAAAGTCAGATTACAAACTGCATACCATGTTTCAAACTTCTGAACAGAAGATGCATTTAAACCATTTGTTTCTACTGTGGCTCTTCATCGCATAACAATCACATAATTGATTCAGACATTTTTGTTGTGTTCACTCTGTACAAAAACTCTATTTTCTCCACACAGGTCGAATCACTAAGGTCTTCATTTCCCACTTACATGGAGATCACCTGTTTGGTTTGCCCGGTCTCCTCTGCACTGTGAGTCTCAACACCAACGCAGACCCCCAGCAGAATCTGAACTGCGTGGACATCTACGGGCCCCGGGGCCTTCGACACTTTCTCAGGGTGACTCTCGGCCTTACAGGATCTCAGCTGCTTTTCCCATACGCAGGCAGGTCCCAACAGCCTGTGTACCTGAGGGCATGGTAGCTTTACTCACTATATTTTTTCCACACACAGTTAACTATTTACTTTTTCAATTTCTCTCTCATTTATATCACTTTAGTTCATGAGCTGGAGCCCACTCCTGACCAGTGTCCAGAAGAGGGACGGCTCAGTTTGGAGGTTGGTGTTTATTTAGATGTGCCTCTGGACACCACGTTTGCCCCCCCCCCGATCACCTCTGTGTTCAATGCCTGCAGAGGTGCAGACTGGGATGGGGGTCCCCATCTTTAAGAAGAGGTAGTCAAGACTGTGTTCCAACTAGGGATGAGTGATAAACATATTGTATCGATTAATTCAAATTTGCCCCTTATAAAGATTTAATTTTGGAAAATCTGGATTTTTTTTCTTCCCCATCAATGTACTCAATGTATTCCTTGGACTTCTGGACTTTCCTTGGACTCCCACAGAATGGCATAAAGATCAACATGGTAGCTTGCCAAGAAAGATCTAATTCCCCCCAAAATGCACCATTTTATTAATTGTATGAAACTGGTTTGGGACATAAACTTGTAGTTTCTTGAACTGGAGCTACAAAAAAAAAGAAATTATTCAAATTGGATTTGGAAGGAAAGACATATTACTTTTAGACTAGTTTCGTCTCACTTCTCAGCCCCCCCCTGGAAAGTTCATTCCTGTCTGAGTGTCCAAACTCGGATTCAGGATGAGCAGTGGGGTTTCTGTGGAACAGAGGACCAAATCTTTACCCTTGCACACTTACTAAGGGGATCATAGATATTGTCTGCTGTAAGATATCCTTAAGTTGTGTGAATAAGGCTTATGTACAATATAAAAAAAATCAGCAAATATATCTTTTTGTACCAGTTGAAAAAGGACATTTTTCCCCAGTGGCTCCCCTATGGAAGTCATTTTACTCGTATGTTTTGGTTCTTATAACAGGTCTATTGAACATGTGTCTCCCGTTAGATGACAGCAGAGAGTGGTCCTCTGCACCAGCAGGAGCAGCCGGGCAGGACCATCTCTCTGGACGCGTCCACTGACTGTTATCACCTCTTTGAGGACAAGAAGTTTGCCGTGAAGGCCTTCAGGCTCTTCCATCGCATCCCTTCCTTTGGTTTTTGCGTTCAGGAGCACGAACGGCCCGGGAGACTGAAAACAGAACTACTTAAGGAACTAGGTAAAAATAGTTTTGTCCTTTTGTAGATCATTTGCTTTACAGGCAGAGGCTGAATGGATTTCATGTTAACGATTCAAAGAACGGCATAGAACAAAGAAAGTTTGTTCTACCGATCGGAGGAAATCATTTATGAAGTTATAACAACACAGTTCAGCAGTTGTGACTTAAACAAGTCTAGTATAGTATAGAATTATAAGAGTGATACAGATATATACGCCATATTGAACCCTATGGACTGGGGTTAATTTGTCTATACAGATATCCACAATTATAGATTTATCTGAAATGGATTCTCACTATTTCAGGAAAAGAATCATGGAGACATTTCATGCAGATAGCAGTAACTGGTCTTTTTTTTTTTTTTCCTTTTTGGTCCATCAGGTCTGAAACCAGGACCCCTCTATGGGCGGCTTAAGGCCGGGGAGCCGGTCACTCTGGAGAGCGGGCGCGTGGTCCGGCCCGGGGAGGTGCTGGAAGAGGCTGTTCCGGGGAGGAAGGTCTGCGTCTTCGGGGACTGCAGCGCGGCGCTCGGGGAGGGGGCGCTGAGGCTGTGCCGCGGCGCCGACGTGCTGGTGCACGAGGCCACGCTGGGGGACGAGCACCGGGAGAAGGCGCTGGAGCACGGGCACAGCACGCCGGGCATGGCGGCGGCGGTGGCGCGGGCCTGCCGGGCGCACAGGCTGGTCCTGCACCACTTCAGCCAGCGCTACAAGCCCCGCCCCCCGCAGACGGACGGGGACGGGGACGGCGTGGACGAGCTCAGGAGGCAGGCCGAGCGCGCCCTGCAGAACACCGGAGCAGAGGTCACTCTGGCCGAGGACCTGATGACCCTGTCCATCCCTCTGAAACGACCAAGCTAACCAGCTCAGTAATCCCAGGTAAACTCATTTAGATTCACTCGCATCTTTGCTCTCTACATCTTGTCTATTTGCAAGTTTGAATGCTATTTTATTCATTATTTGTTATGGATATCACAGTTATTTTTTCGAGGTCAGTCATTTTAAGAATGAAGGGAAACTCCACTTGACAGTTTCACTTATCTCGACCAGTCAGCAGTTTTAGAATCGTTTCCCTGATGTTAAAAAAAACTTACGTTTACATTTATACATTTGGCAGATGGCTCACAAGGAAATGAAAAATCCTTTAAATGTTTGAGCACATCCGTTAAAACTCATTTAGATGAGCTAACAAACAGTGAACTACCACCAGTTTGCTGTTGTCAGAGTCAACGCTGATATTTACATTTTATGAAGCCGCTGCTGAAAAAAGCCGTTGTTTAACTTATTTGCCTGTAAAATTGTGTACGTGTTCACATAGTAACTGTGTCACCAAAAGCTTTTCCGTCTGCCCTGAAAGGAAGACCATGTGATGCCCTCCAAACTTTTTCCAGAGCTTTATTTCTGGATCTGTACACAAGGTATTAAAGTACAACAGAAAATACAAAATAATGTTTAACAAAAGAAAAAAAAAACAGCAATGTTTATGTACAATTCTTATAAACAATAAAGATAGCTTCTTGAACAATTCATAATGAAGTTTTGATTGTCTATATTTCTGGATATACATTTTTAAGTTTTGTAGGTTTTTATCCACAAAGGTGTTTGTTTTCAAAGGACTCGAGTTTTCTTTTTCCAAAACCACAACTGCTAGATTTTTTTTTTTTCCTTTTTAAAACTTCAAAACAATACAAAATATAAAATAAATTTTAGTGCTTTCTTGCACACACAAGTCTCATAACAGAGATATCAATAAAATATCACATTTGAGTTCACAGGGTGGTGAAAACCTACTTACACTACTCAATGGCCTTTACATTCTGACAGTTTTTAGTCTTTGTACAAACCACAGGTGAAATAAATATCACTGCACTGCTAAAGCTAGAAGAGCTCAGAGGACCTACTGCATTATGCACATTGCTTTGAAAGAGAAACTAGCTCTCCAATTAGAGCAGCAGCCATCCCTTTACCATAGAGACAAATATAGACATGTAAAAAGATTTTTTTTTCCCGAGGAAAGAAAGATGAGTGTCATTTACACATAGCTGAATCTCTCAAATGCAAAGGCTGCAACATTGAGGAATATCAATACGTCTTCAGGTAAAGCCGTTTTCAGTGGTACACTTTAGAGATGGCCACAGCTGGCATGCGTGGTTTCAGCTGGGTCCTGGTGTTTGGGTAGCATGACTTTCCAAAGAGAAAAATTAAGTTTAAACACCAAGTCAAAACAGTAAAATGCAAAACCCCAAATGTCTGTACATATCTACATATTATTGCCTTTCTGACAAGGATTCAAATTAAAACCTTTGTATCAATACAGATTCACAAGTGTAAGAGGTCAGTAATAGACTTTTAAAGGCTATTTGCTAAATATTTACATGAAATGTAGATGTGAATGTCCTCTCTGATGCTGGGTTTGGGAACTGAATTACTTAAACTTAATGGTGGTTATCAGGCATAAAGTCTATCTGTACACACATTATGGTGAAATACTAAATCTATGGACATGATTTAAGAAAAAAAATGTCCCCCTGAAACAAACTAAATATTCATAGCACAATGCATAGATAAATTAAGTAAACACTACTACTGCATCCAATTAACCGACGCTGACTCGCTAACAGTTTACATTTCACAATGATGGACTTCAGTCAAGCCAAAACATCCTTTTCTGCTACCAGGCTCCGAGAAATTGCCGACCAGATTTCAAAAGGCATCTCTAGTCAGTACAGGCTAGGCAGAGGTTCAATACAAAAATCAGAGAGGCTTTAAATAAACATAATACTGAGAGTACAAAAGCTTACTAGAAGCCGGGTAATGGCGCTACTTGATTTAAGGACATATTCTACCATTTTTACAACAGCTAGGACATATACAGCAAAACCCGCCTAAGAGCAGCATGACCGCAAGCACAAACTCAAAAAGAATAAATGAAAATCTCATTAAGGTAGAAGATTATTCAATAAATACAAATTTCACTGTGCAAGTGTATAGATGGCTATTAACCCAACCAAAACCTTTGCATTGCTAAATTGCTCTTACAGTTTGCCAATATCCTGGAAAGAGTTCTAAATGTGTATTTCAACAGCTGTTTTGAACTAGAACAGTGAAACAATTATGTGTGGAATTTGACAAAGAATTAACCTCCGCAAATATAGACATGTTCCAGTTTTTGGGCCAATTTTAAGTGAAGTAAGATTGCAAACAAACTGATAATTTGGACAAGCACTCAAATAGGAAGAAAAAAAAAAAAAGAGAAACTAATAAGAAGGCCTATGCAACAAAAGCAAGCAGACGCTTACCAGACTACAGGCTAATCTCTGTGCTAGTGCTCATACATGTACACAAGTGTTTCAGGGATGAAAATAAAAAAAACCTCTGCACTAATCTGGTTACTATAAAAGTACCTGTAAACCCAACACCATAAAAAAAAAAGGGAAATAATAAATAGAAGTACCACTTCAAAACAACAAAAAAGCAGCAGCTAAATGCTAACACTAAAGGCAGAAAACTAAACCAGTTTGGCAGCTGAAACAAATGGCAGGATAATGGACTGTAGCTCAGAGGATGCTGTATGCAAGTGTGAGGGAAGAAGATTCTGCAGCTTCTGGGCCCCACTGTACATGGACGTTACACATATCAACAACTCAAACGAAAAATAAATGGCTATAAAAACTCTTGAGAGAAATCAAGATTTTAGTTCTATATGATAGACATCACTGATGTCATATTACACAAAAAATGGAAACAAAAAGTAGATTTATATACATATATATAGATATGTATATATATATTTATATATATATATAATAGAATTTAAACAAATAAGATTTTCCAGTGAGGTCAGTCTTATGTACAAGCAGGAAAAAGGGCTTCAAAAGGGAAGAACGAGGGCGAGTAAGGAAGATCACTCGGACTGAAGTGCTGCAGTGTGCTGTGTGTGGTGCCGTGCGTGTGCTCCCAGAAAGCCGTTGGGCTCGCCACTGCCTGCTAGGCTCCCAAAGTCTGTGACAGACACGGCCATTTTGGCGCCGGTAATTCGGTGGTGATGCGTCGTTGTCCGTCGTGCTTCAAAGTCCACACCAAGGTTACCCACGGACACGTCACTGATAAAGGAGTCGGGCAGAGCCATCTTGAGTCTCTTGGAAGGTCGCTCGCAGTCCTTACTGACACACACTCCTCCAAGCTGACCGAGGTCTGAGTGGTAGAAGCCGGCGTCCAGCATGTTGAGGCAATCGGGGTCGGCACCGTTTGAGGGGAAGCCGAGCGATTCGTCGTGGTTCAGGGATCCACGGTGGAGACTGTCCAGTGGAGGGAAGCTGTAGGAGTCCAGGCAACTGACCTCAGCGGGGGTGCATACTGTGGCTACAGTGTTGCTCAAAGCTGAAAAGACACAGTACTGTCAGCATCAACTAACTGCCCAGTTTTCTTCATTAACAAGTGAGGGATGTCCTGAATACACGAATTATGCTGCTATTTTGGGAACTCTCAACATTCCTGGATTACTGAGAACTTAGACGCCATCACTCACCTGTGAGGTCGCTGGCAGTGATGGAGTTGAGGAGGCTAAGCTGCTGTTCTGTGCTCTCCATCCTTCCTCCTCCACCTGCTCCTGAACAAACGGAGGAGGAGCTGTCCACTGCTAGCCCCTCTGCTTCATCCACCAGCCTGTCCATCAGGTCACTGCATGTAAAGAAACAAAGGGTGTGTTCTTCCATATCATGTCTCTTTCCACTTCCTTTGGTTGTTTTGTACGAAAACGTCAGCATGGATTAAATACTATGCAAAGGAATGTTTTCTCCTAGCACTTACGTTACACCAGGATAGCTGCTATACTTTTTCTTCCCAAACCGATTCTGCTGAACAAAATAGTCAAAGCGCTCCGACTTCTTCCACATGTAATAAAACGCCACACATTCTGCTACCGTTCGTGACGTTACCTGGAAGGAAAAAAGAAGGGGCGGGGTGAAAAAAATATGAAAAGCTGTTGGACATCTACAGATCTAAAATGGTTGCATTCCTCTGTAAGAAACAGAAAAAAAAACAAAAAGAAGACTTACTTTGTGTTTCTGAATGAGGTGAAAATTCTTGTCATACATCTGCAGAGCATGCTCAAAGTTCTTGCACTCCTCTTCTGACCATGGAGGTAATTTTCCTGAAATAGTGACAGAATAAGTCATCTGGATTCAAAGTTTGCCACAGCATAGGCACATTTATTTGTATAGCCCATTCTGTGTACAAGACACTTCAAATTGCTTTACATGAGCAGCAGTATTTCACCAGTACTTTTCATAACAAGGTATATGCCAGCTTTTGAAAAGTAAAACAATAGTTTGAAATGGAATATGTTTGCTTACCTTTTGAGGACTTTACTTGGCTGCAGTATCTCTCTAGTGCTTCACGGGTGTTGTAGTTGCATTTGAAAAGCTCATGCAAAGCCTATATTAAATAAAAATTGTGGAATGAACAAGGGATCAGCATGAGCTAAAAGGAATAGAATAAAACCTTGGCTACATAATGTGTTATAAGATGCTGAAGGTTAAAGTTGTTCCAAATAATTTTTAACTGTACTTAAAAAGAGTGCCCATACCTGCTCGTTGTCTCGAACATGCATCCCTAATTTATCATATCCTCCCTTTTCAAACGTTGTCCGCAACAATACATCAGACAGGAAAGTCCTCACTTTGTTTTCTGACAAAACACCTGGGCTCCATAGTAGCTCATCTTCGTCTTCATACACTGCACAGAAAAGCACACAATATACTCTGTTATCTTATTTTTACTTAATAGATTTAAGCATATGACAGCCATGTTGAAGAATGCAAAAGATTTTGAAGACAAAAAGCAGGAGTCACCTTTCTCTCCTTCTTTGTAGTGACAAAGGCAAGATGGAACATCTGCTTGGTACTCTGTGCCCACCATGATTTCCTATTGCAAAAATGTTAAAGAAACAAAAAGCCAAAAAGGAATTATTAAGTATAAGTCATGAAAAAGACTTCATTTATCCTTATTGACAGAATGTTATATGAATTGTTTACTTTTCTGGAGTCATCTGGACTTGAGCCATCCTCTTCACATTCTGATTCTTTATCTCCATCGGAAATAGCATTGGCTGAAAAGAAAAGAAAATGAATATGTCTTAAATATTTTGATATATACTGAATTCAACTACACATTCATTCCAATATAATACTTTATGTTCATGCATTACAACAAATAAAGCTTTCTTCCCGTTTTGGAATATGCTGCAAAAGCATGCTTTCACGAGAGTAGTCTACTGAAAGCTAGTCTTAATTTGCTGAATAACTTGCTAGGATGAGGTTATTCTTTTTCGTGTGCAAATTATGAAAAAAAACTATGAAAATACAAAGTACTACTTTGATTTTCGTGTCTGGAAGTCCATTTTCCTTAATCACACACTGGACTTTACTTTAGAATATAAACTTTAGAAATTGAAATGTCTCACTTACATCTTAGTGTTCTTGGGAAGAAATCAGTGGCCTCATGTGAGGTAACAGAGGGGGTCAGATCATCAGCAGAGGACTGCGTCTCCTCCTCGTAATCACCAGACAATAGGTCTTTAGCAATTTCTTCCTGAAGAGGAAGAAATAACTGCCGTTTAATAATGTGATCAATCAAGGATCATCCCTTTATCTTTCCTATAATTTTCTAAAATTTCTGAAATCTTTGATTAAATGTCAACAGGTACTTGCCTTGTCCAAAGTCATGTCAGGCAGCTCATCAGTGAGGTCTCCTGAGGAACTGTCTATACTGGAGCCTGCTGAGGCCTCGTAGCGATAAATAGCCAAAAGTTCCTCCAAAGGCATGTTTCCTTCCTGATAACAGAGAGATGACAGCATATTTAAAAAAGTAAGAATCCTCTTCAATTAGAAAAACATTTATAAACTGTGGTGACATTTATAATAGCACACATAACATTTTAGACAAATTGTACTTCACCAGAAAATAACACTCACTGAGGTCCCATTAAACGTTACACAGAACTTTGGTATAATTATTTACATAATTTAATTATTGTTATTTGTGCATGGGACAAGAGCTCAAAATAAAATTAACCACCAACACACTATGGTTCAAAATCCATAGTTTTTTTTATTTTTCTTACCTTTTCGAGATCTGCAAGTTCAGAGCTGAAATTCCTCCCACCTTCCAGAGACTCCTCCTCCTCTAGGGTCCTCTCATCATCATACTCATGAACTAACATTTCTGCAGTTGGGTCAAAGTCATGGTCCTCTGATGATAAAGAGCCAACTGAATGAAAGAAAAAGAAAGATATACGTCAGGGGTATGACATGTTTTCACTGGAATATGAACATTTCTTCTTCAAGATATATTATGTTAAACAGCATTTGTATTTTTTCAATTTCAAAAACCCTTTTCCCCATCAAATTGCTTAATTGATCATTTCCTCAATTAGAATTATTTCAATAACAAACAATTGTGTGTTTGAATTACATACATTTTTATCTGAAATATTCTTTCAATGATTATTATTTCATTACCTGGACTTGAACTCCCAAAGGAAGCCTGGGGAATAACAGAGCACATATAAGGTAAGTGAAATGTGATCATAGTATACCTGACAATACTGCAAAGTAACCATTTTCATGATCACAAATTCTGATACCTGTTTCACCTGTTAAACAATATCTCAATATTTTAAGTCACCATCTTTCATACTCACAAGACCATAAACAAAAGTTAACTTTGAATAAGTGGGCATGAACACATAGTTCTAATAATTGGCATGACAGCATTCAAAGACATGCTCACATTATTTTTGAGTGCCAGATAATTTGAAACAGTTGTCTTAATTTCTAACTGTGAGTAAACTCTACGATAGTACGATATTTTAAAAGACCCATTGCTTTAAAATACAAAAAACGACAATGAATAAGAATCTTAAATAGCTTAAAATATAAAGCCGGTCAGAGAGAATTGCATTACAGCGCTATCGTTACCTGGAAAAGGTGGCTAAATTAACCATAACTGCTCAACGAAACGAGGAAACCTAAACGCGGATTCCAAATTTGACAAATTGGATTAGAAATTTCCGGGAAAATCTTAGCAGCATCAATGTTATGTACAGGGAACAGCGCGATTTATACACTAGCCGGTCCTATAACTGTTTGCTAGCCAGAAAGCTAACCCTGTAGCCTAACATTAACGCTGGGCATCGGGTAATGTAAACACTAATTTCGTTTATGCCGCACTACAATGGATGGTAAGTAATTATCTTTTACATATAAGTACTGCTGATTTAGTTTAATGATAAAAAATGTTATTCCATTCATCACGTACATGGCACATTCTGTCATTTTCTTTAAGCAGCAGGCTAACGTTACATTTTCGTATCAATTTACACAGCCGCTACATCGGAGCAGCTGAGAGCGAAGGCGCAGAGGCCTCGTAGTGAAGGATCGGGCCAAACATTAAAGCATTTTTTACAGAAATAGAAGAGACAATTACAATACAAAACGTACTACACATATGGCAAAAAACATTATTTATCCAATCGATAGAATAAAAATGAAAGATACAACTCATAAATTTAGAAAATATCGATTAAAGATTGATTGCTTCTCCCCTGTTTTCCCTCTTACCTCCGCCATATTGGTACCTTTAGCTAATGGGCTCGTTCTAGCGCAGTACCCGGATGAACGGTCTGAGCCAATCACAGCTCCAGGTGACCGTTGTAGTCGTGACGCTGTTCAAGCCAGCCGCTGTTGAGGCTAACAGCAATACCTCTATATACAGCTAATTTAAAAAAGGAAAGAGACTCAGAAATTATGGATAAAACATACTGAAACATATATCAAATCATAACTATATATGCTGACCAAACATATCAGTGTCATACCATAGACCCCGACAATACCGCACTGAAAGCCAATTTACTGGAACATTCAGAGAATATACTAAGAACAACCCAGCTGATATGCTGCTCTTCGTAGTACCGCATATTAGCGGTTATTGTACCACGATTAACGTTTTGTTTCTATTGATTTCGTATTAAAATAGTTTAGTGTGTCCTTTCAGCTTCAAGCGAAAGTTATTTAATGATAGGACAGCAATTCGTGTATCTGTCATTTATCTCAGAAGGTTGAACAACTAACACATGGATACCTATGGCAATAACACGTCATGCGTTTGATGCTAACACTAAACAACATCAGTAAAGAGAATGGGTATGAACTCATTTTTGTTCATCTATTTCATAACCTACGTGCTTCAAATTCCTCCCAATGATAGATCAACAGTCCCATATGGGAAAAGCAGGACCAAGATGTCCTATCATGTTAAGGAAAACGACCACAACTGAGGAACAGAAATAAATCTAGCTAAACAACAACTGCAAAAGACAGAGACAAAAATACTCCAATGAAGTGCAGACGACAAAAACCATCAAGATTATAGATCACGACTAAGATAGAAAATGGAAAATAAATTAAAAAAGTGTGACAAAACAACCACACAGTAAAATGTCCCAAGGATTGCTCAGAATACCAAAACGGGCCAAAGAAAAACGAAGATATCAAATAAATAGAAATTAAAAGGAGACAAGAGATTGCAAGAAATAAAAGATAAAACTCAGGGGACCACATTCAGTGCTGATGAGTGTGTCAAGAGAACTTCAAGAGAAATTATTTGACAACTGAAAATGTCTCTTAAATTCAAACCAGCAGGGGGCAAAAGAGCTGCATGCCACACAACTGTGAGACAACCCACTTATCTCCACACTTTTCTCTTTGCTATTTTTCTGTCAAATCTTTTTCATCAATGATAAAAGTTAATTACTTATCATAGAAGGATCTAGGTTAACTGTATTCAGTTTTACTGGTTGGAACTGAAACATCACAACAGCATTTCTCTGCACTCTTCATAAAAAACTGATTATTTCCCCCATTCCCTTGTAACTGTTCATTTATAAGGCTTGACACATTAAGATCTAGATATGTCCAACAACATTTGAGATGAAAAGTGTAAAAGCTGCTTCTGTTACAAGATGTTCAATTATTTCCACATATTGGATCAGCATTAACAAGTGGCATGACCTGATCAGGTGATAATTATAATCATGTAACAGGAGCTTTTTCTGTCATAATAATATGTCAACTAATTGGCCATTATAACGTTCAATCGCTTTAGAGGTAGAAAGTGTTTTTATTTGCACCCAGTACATCATTTATACCATATTTGATGACTCCTGGTGTTTCTTGTTTAACTGATGACCTCATATTGTACTAATGTTGATGCATAAAATCTCATAGATGGTGGATGACTCCAATAAACTATAACAAAGAGTCTCATCTTTTTGTTTACACTTATAGTCTAATTTAATTTATACTTTTACAAACCTGTCACAGGAAGTAAACACTTCTATCTCTAGAGAGACAAATCCCCTATCAGGCGTAGGAGCAACAGCTTGGCCTGCGTTAGTGGACTCTACAAACACATGAGTCACTTTTGCAGACAGTTCAGACACATCTTGCTCCTTGCCACATGTGAGACAAGCTGGAACATGTTAAAAGTCCATACTTTGGCCAGATGAAGTTGACAAACCCTATGTGTATATCCAAAAGCTATTGAAAAACTAGTTCAAAATCAGAGTATGTTCCTTTTTCTATGCTGTTGATTCCTTCAGGAAATCTTTACTTCCTGTGTGCATGTGTGGTAAATGATGTAAAGCACTATAAAAGTAACATTTACAATCTGCCTTTTTTTCCTCTCTCCTCTGTGGCACATTTACAGGCAATCATTTGAAAGCACTTTCAATGCCTACTTTTACAGAACAATGTTGTCAGGAAAATGTGAGCCCTTACCTAATGAGTGAAATTGCCAGGTCAACAAGTTATCCTTTGACGTAGGTTTTGGAGAGGCGGGTTACAAAGGGGTCGCAATCCATTGTTAGAGCGCAAAACGGAAACTGCTGATTAACAGTGGCTCACTCCTACATTGGTTTTGCGATTGTCCAGCAACTGCCCACTCAGTTGATGTAGCATATCATCCATTGTAATCCCAGAAACTTGATAATGACTGATTATTTTTTCAGTCTGATTGACATATTGATTAAGTATAACTCTATGTAAGCCATCATTGGAGGTTGTTACACTGAGAGAAATCAATTGACTGTACAACTGTAAAGCCCTACATATAAGCTATCACAACATTATCATACATACAAGGACATACAAACTCTACTACAATATTGAGAAGAAAACCTTTTCTGGTGAAAAAATTCTCTTGGTGCCCTCTTGAAACAGATGCTTGTGCAGGGGTTCAGATGTTTTATTTGAAAAATGACAAGTGATGTAATGAAAGTGTAGCAGCTGCAACTCGATACTAGAGCAGGAGGCACTCGAGCTTGGCAACAGCTTTTTATTGGAAACAGCCAGCAAGCAATCTTCACACTTCCTGCTTGCATTTTCTGTGGCACGAATATGACAAGATTCCAGATCACTATTCATTCAGAAATTGCATGCCACGGAGAAAGCAGACAGTTAATTGGGTGCTGGTACATCACACAACTCATGACACACAGAATAAGAATACAGATTTAGAATGCTTAAGCACAATAAAGAACATGAACTCAACATTACCACGGTAAACTAAACTAACACTGTTAAATTAGCATTCCAAACAGATCTGGGTAACCAAACCCTACACTTTATGTAGCTATCTCCTTCAGTCAGCATTGTGATATTGTTGACCATGCATGTTATATGAGCAATTTGAGATGTTCTGTACAAAATCCTGTTTGAGATAAGACCACCAGGTGTCATTATGTAAAAGCTTTCTTTATGACACAGCTAAAGCTTTAAACATTTTTCCCCATGCTCTGAAACATATTCTCTGTCAGGCCTCAGTAATGAACACTTACTGCATGTTGCTGATGTTTTGTTCTACAGCATCTCTTACGTTGTGTGTTTATCCTCACATAAACAGCCAGCAGCTGCAGAGCAATCCTTACAGCATCAACAGACCTTTTCGAAGAACCTTTCTATTCTTAAGTTTACATTATTCATCTGAAGTAGTAAAACACAAGCTGTAGGCTAATGCAAGTTCCACGAAATCATGGGGGAAGGATTGCACATATCCATATTTATTTGGCACGTGGCATGTTGTAGAAATAGATTACGGTTGAAGTGTTCAGAACAAAAACATATTCAGCCTAATCAGCAACTGTCGCCTGTTAGAATACAGCTTTAGGGAGCTGGATTCTCAGTGAGCAACAAATCGAAGGTGCTTTGTCAAATTTAAAACATATTAACATTTCACCTGATGACTAATGGCACCTAATGGGTGTTGCAATGAATTTGTGTCCTAACAGTGAGATGAAAAATAGGAATAGAATAGAATATTTTAATGCTTTGCCATCAAGTAAGTTTCATGTGTTTGAATGTCAGCATATTGTAACACACGTGCCTTTTCATGTTATCATAAGATCAGAATATGTTGAAAGCTCTTCATGTTTAATGGTGTAAGACACATAAATGCCAACTACTAAGGTGATGTAAGGTAATGTGTTACACACCATTATGTTTTTGTACAGTGACATTTGATGGCAAGGTTTTGTTCATCACGAATGTAAACTGGTGTTTTGTAACTCAGTATTGACCTATTAGGCATTAAACATCTTTTTAGATCTCAAAGATCCCTGGATGAACTCTCAGGCTTAAAACTGAGTCATGAGTGTGCGCGTTTGTGTGCATGTGTGTGTGTACGTGTGTGCGTGCATAAACAAGGACTTGTAGGACTAGGTTCAGTGCAAAAGAAAAATGCTTTTTGAGATAACAAAAACATGAATTTTGTCATTGTAAATGTATTCTTTTAGTTACTTAATGGGTCATTCTTGTATGTCAAGGGTACATTAGTAACAGTGGGTACATACATGGAGGCTATTACCAGCACAGCTGGCAATGGAAGTATCCCTCTTCATGAGGGTGATTCAATAAAATAAAAAAAAGATTCTAAAGTACTTTTAATAACCTTCCTCCATAAATGTGTTACAGAGATATGAGGAGTACAAAGCCCCCTTTGGGTGAAAACTTTTGAAAGGCTGAGTGTTTAGCCCATCCATCCATTTTCTTTCCATGCTTATTCCATATGGGGTCGGGGTGGGAGTGGGGGTTGGTGGTTGAGAAGCTACACAGGACTACACAGAAATAAAGGAGACAAACAAGTGTGCATGTTTAAAGTCATTCATAAGGTGAATACAGATCCACATTTTAACCTAACGTGTATGTTTTCTGAAGGACCGTGGGAACTGGAGTAGCCTGTGAATATTTCATATGAAATTCCATTTTTGCTTTGTTTAACACTCAAAGGATCGGACATTAAACCCTTTAAACTTGACAAAAATTGTCATTGTATATTTCCATTTCTTTTTTCCAACTATTCGTTTCTTTTATATTTTGAGTGGTGAGGGTTAGAAAGAATGGTGAGGTCTATGTGCCACAAAATACATCTTTTGACAGTTAATAAACCTAAATATGTTGTGATTTACATCATGTCTGAGAACAGGATGATCCTGTAAGTTAATGTCTCCGTAATGTGCTTCTATGTTCAATGTCTGCTAGTTTGACAATACAGTTTGTGAACATTCAGAAGCTTTTAGTATTATTTAGATCAAGGGTGCAAGGGGTGGACTGGTTTTGAAAGGAGAATGATCGAGTGATTTTCCATTAGACCAAC